CTTAATTTCTCATTTTGTATCTCATCCTTTTTAGAATTCAATATAGTTTTCCATAGAGAAATACCATGTCCAAGTAGATGATTATTAATCCAAACTCTAGCCAAATGTATTTTACTAGATTTATTAATTTAATGCAAGGCCATATCTCCCCGAACACCCATGACTTGTTGAAACATAGTACTAATATACATTATCCTAACCTTTACCCTATGTATTATTAATTTCGAAACCTTAACCCCATGACATCATCAATTCCCAACAGTGCCAAAAAAATCTATGCCCAAATTCAAGGGTTGAGCATTCCTTAATCCCATGACATCATCAATTACCAATAGACACCAGAGGCTAGCAACAGGTGGCTCAAGGATTTGCCTCCTACACCTTCGATTGAAGATTTGAACACCCCCAGACAAAGACCCTAGAGAGGCATGAGACAAGCGCCCTCGGAGCCGTCAACATTTCTCAAGCGTAGATGGGCATATGTGGAGGAGAAAGCCGTTGCCCAAGGTTTGGAGAATAGAGTTAGGGAGAAAAATGAAATAATAATAAGGATGGCGGCGGATATAGAGTTACTGAAGCGCTAGGTGATGGAAATGGTGTTGCTTGGGTAAAAATTCACAGTAAGCGCACCCAATCCCATCATTCTGGGGACCAGAATAGGCACGCCACGCTTGTACTTTCTAATAGCAGAAGAAGCTACATAACAGGCGATTCTTAATCCAGATCTTGTAGATCTAGATCACAATTGTCAAGGTTTGAGAGGACAAGGTCGAAGAGATCATATTCTCAAGGAAGCAGTTATTGCCCCTCCATACTCAGCAGACATCTTCTTTTTACTTAGAGTTGCCCAGGATAGAGGATTTCATATTAGTATTAGATAATAGGGCACGCTTGAGACACGCTAAAAGGATACCTACTTTGCACAGGTTGGCCCTTAAGACTCATGCAGTGTGGGTAGCTATGCGCCAACCTCGTCATGTAATTCCAATGCTAGTTGATAAGGAGCTAGCCAGATTGCAATGCACACCGTTCTCACTAGAGATTGAGAACGTGCCTCTTCTAGTAGGCTTCCACCAACCAAAGTTTTCCATCTACGACGGAAGGTCAGATCCCTACATGCACCTTAGCAACTTTCAAGAAGTTATGGTTGTTTATAGGAGGATCAATTCCTTAATGTGCATCTTGTTTCCCTCAAGCCTAGGGGATTTAGGCTTGACTTGGTTTGAAAAGTTTCCAAAAGGTAGCATTAACACATCAACGCAACTTACACACTACTAGAAATATGACTTTTTACGTCTAATTTTTTGCGACTGATTATTTAACGGTCGCAAAAAATCATTTTTGGCATCAAAATCTTAATTTGCCATCTCATTTTCCTGACCCAATTATTTTTGGACATCAAAATCTTATTTTACGATCAAAATCTTATAAAACTTGACTCTCTTTCTCTCTCTCTCTCAATCCGCCCCCTTTTTTCCCAAATCTAAGCTCTCTCTTTCTCTCCCTCTCAAAATCTGTCTCTCACTCGACTCTCGCTCGAATCTCACTGCCTCTCTCGCTCGAATCTGTTGATCGATTCAACTTTCTCAAGTCCACAACTGTTGAAGATTTCATAATCGGTAAGCCTAAACACATCTTCATCGATTCAACTTTCTCTGTAATGATCCGAGAAATCAAGTGTGCTGTGAATTGCTCTCTCTCTCTCTCTCTCTCTTGTCTCAGTTTCTCTGTGAGATCAAAGAAATCTCTTTGAAGCATTCATTTCTTGTTCATCTTCACGCCTTTTTCGTTAACTTGTTGCTTATCCACTAATCTCACTGCAATCTTCTCGATCGATCAGGTTGTTGTACAGAAAGTAAAGGAATTGGAGATAACCGAGCAAGACTGCTTCTACTGGTACAGTTCAGCTTTTGATTTTCATTTACAAATGATCATAGCAACCTATATATAAATTTCAAATCCGAATTATGATCCTGAGAGTTTGAATTTGAAATGATTTTTTTCTACATTTAGAATTGATTTCTCTAGTGTTGCAACTTAGATTTGAATTTCATTGTCTGCTTGTATTCATTATTTGTGGATCAAATTCTGGAATTCTAATTTGAATTTATGGTTTTCTCACATTCAGAATCAGATCATTGCCTCAACATTGTTCAGTAGTTTTTTGTTGTTGAAAAATTTGTGATCTATAGAGGTCAGATTTGTCCCCATCTATGCTTTTTTTTTTTTACTAAAAAAAATTCAACTGATATTTAAAAAAATTCAACTGATATACAAGTATATACAAAAAATCTATTGTGGCTGGCAGCTAACCTGAAGGCCTCTGCTTTGAATTAGGAATTCCTGTTGAGCATGGCATCACTGTAGTGAGATTTAGCTTGATTCAGTTATGTTAACTGTAATATAAATGTAATATGCTTGCTGTAGTTGATATCTTTTGTAGTACTTGGTCCAGGCAAAGCAGGATTTTTCCATTTGAATTGATGAAGTGATCAAGTTTTCTTTTATGTTGATCGATATTTTCACAGTACTTTCAGGGAATTAATTTTTCAAGCCAATTTTTTGGGTCAACCTTTTTATTGTGTGTCAATTTCAAATGCTAGTAGCCATGTGTTTAGATCATTTCAGGACAGCACCAAGAAACTTCTGTATTTTTAAGCCAAACAAATTGCGCACTGTGGATGGCTGTTAGTATCCTAGTATTCAATTTTCATTATTCACTTTTAATGACTTGCAGTTATCATGTAGGCATTATGCATCCCTGGCTCATCGATTTTCAGGCAAGTGAACCGGGTTCCAGCGAGCCGAGCAGACAGGATTATTTCAGTTAAGTAATAGTTCCAAAGTTTATATTAACAATTTAACATTTGACACATTCTGGGTTAGTCTTTGTTGGGATTGTGGATACAACATTACAAATCATGGCATATGGCACAAGAAACCAAACCTGTAATGGCACATGCCATGATTTGACCATAGAATCACTTTGGTTTGAGATCAAAGATATGTTTGACTAACAATTGATGTGTAAAGTGGTTCGAGTGTCCAATTTGACTGACAAGAAAGATCGTGTTCCATGGATATTAAAGGTTACTTTTACCTCACTAATGTTGTGGATGAAACTTGTCCATGCATTTTCTTGTAAATTAAATTGCAATCACAAATATATTAATACAAAATCAAATCATATTGTAGGGCATGTCTTTGTCTAGGGTTGTTCAATAGGATGCTTATGGAGTAGCTTCTCCTTTTGGACATTAGAAAGGGGTGGAAATACGGTGGTTATCAGATTCCTTGTGGCACTCTGTTTTTATGATTTTAAAAGACAAAATTATTCATTCAACTGGATATACACTTAGGTTTGCTTGACGTGAGTTTTCGATGGCATAATATGTGAAGTTTACCAAAAAAATATCATATGGTATTTCCACCTTGTTTACTGTTGTAATTTTTCCAATTAAGGGAGTATACAGTATTATGGCGAGGTGATATCTTGCTTCTGTTTTGGCAATGTGCTAAAATGTCCAAATACTCTTCAATTTTTAACTGATCCTTGCATTTCTTAATTTGTAGGTTCTTAAGAAGCAGGCTGGTCTAAAGCTTCAAGATAATGTAATTAGTTCTTCCTTGTTATTTATCCTTTCAAATTTCATCATCTTACTTATCCAAAAACATATATGTAAATAAATATTCATCATTCTTCTTTGTTCTATCTTTTGTGTAAATAAATTTCCTAATCATTAGCAGCCCCTTCATTTATTGATGAGATCACACAGCGTGTGACACAAGACGTTGAGTCTAGGTTCACTACGACGATCAAGAACCTAACGGCACGTGTTTTGTTCTTAGAGTCACAGGGTGTGGCTGGGAGTATGAGCTTGAGAGAGGTGCAATACTTACAAATTAACGAATTTTACGTTTTATCAATTTGTATATATACATATGGGTGACATGTTTGTCTTTTTTTTAAGCTTTAACTATTTTTTATTGTTCAATCACAGGGCATCTTTTTAAATGTCGTTAGTGGGGTGACACTGACAGAGACTGCTGGTGATCTTGCTATAGCAGCTGCAATTTGCAGTAGGTATGCGTTCTTCTACTTACTTGTCCTCAAAACAAGTATTTAACATTTCTTATGTTTGTTACGCATGCTTTCCTTTTGTCATTTCTCACCTCATAGAAACTGTTAACACCTACCATCACCTACTCCACCTACTACACCTACCACCACCTACTACACACCTACCACTACCACCTACTCCACTACATCTCCTATATAAGGAGCCCCTCACCATTTGTAATAGACAACATACAACAATCAATAATACAATAATTGATAGATAGAGAATAAATTGTATGTATTATTGATTGATGTGTATTGTCTATTACAAATGGTGAGGGGCTCCTTATATAGGAGATGTAGTGGAGTAGGTGGTAGTGGTAGGTGTGGAGTAGGTGATGGTAGGTGTAGTAGGTGGAGTAGGTGATGGTAGGTGTTAACAGCCCCCCGCAAACTCAAGGGGGATATGAACTAACTAACTTGAGTTTGGAGAGAGTAACAAAACAAGAAAATAATCTGAAAAATAAAAAATGGATAGGAGACACTGTATGGTCGTGTCAGACCGTTGTAGAAGACTATATGGTTATGGCAGTGAAGACACTGGATGGTGGTGTCATAACGTTGTAGAGGACACTGTATGGTCGTGTCAGACCGTTGGTGAAGACACTGTATGGTGGTGTCATAACGGTGTAGAGAACACTGGATGGCAATGTCAGACCGATGTAGAAGACAGTTTATGGGGTCATGTCGGACCGTTGTAGTAGACAATGTTGTGACAGTTTACAGAGTCTTGGTGGACCCTTGTAGAAACTAACCGGAATCAATGTCGGGACTGTTTACAGAGTCTTGTCGGACCCATGAAGGAGTTAACCAGAATCAATGTCGGGACAGTTTACAGAGTCTTGTCGGACCCATGAAGGAGCTAACCGGAATCAATGTCGGGACAGTTTACAGAGTCTTGTCGGACCCCTAAAAAGTCACACCCTCAAAAGGTGTGCACAATCTGTCAAAAGGCGTGCCATCAAAAGGCGTGCCAAATCCATAAAAAGGCGTGCCCAATCCATAAAAAGGCGTGCCATCAAAAGGCGTGCCCAAGTCATAAAAAGATGTGCCGGACATGATGGCGAGGCGCGTCACCACATTGGCTTGCGCGCCCGTTTTGTCGTCTGGCGTCAAGTGGCGCGCGATGCGCGTGTTTGCCTTGGCTATTTAACCAAAACGGATGCTGAGGCTGAGGCTGAGGCTGAGGCAGAGGCTGAGGCTGAGGCTGAGGCAAAGGCAGAGGCAGAGGCAGAGGCTAAGACAAAAAACTGGCTAAAAACCTCTGAGAAATTCTTCGTTGTCTTGAGAGAGATACTCTGTAACACTCTGTAACCAACCCTTCTCTGAAACACTCAGCAACTCATAACATGGCCTCTTCGTCCCGTAGTCTGCTCACTCTCTTTTCCGACCTCAACGAGTCCACAAGAGAGGTAACCGGTGCGGTTGCCCGTGAACCTCAACCAAGCGCCCCTGAGTTTGCTCCGTTGACCTTTCCTATGCGGTCTGTGGAGCAAAGAATGGCAGCGCAATCAGATATTGAGGCGAATCAGTATACATTGAAGTCATGTGTTGAAACCATGACTGCGGTCACAAACTTGTTGCACCGGCTGCAGAGTAGGACAAATGAGGTGCAGCAGTTAAATGCCCAACTGGCTCTGCTCCAGCGCATGTATAAGGATGCGCGAGTAGAGATAAGTATGCTAAAGGCGGAAAATAAGGAGCTGAAGCGGAAGGCCACCGTTATGTTCCGATTTGGAGGGCCGCCATATGCTGCAGTGGAGGAGCAGGGAGTAGTGATCGTGCCCAGTGGAGTGGGAAACACGGAGGCAACACCGTCAAGGGCCGCCCAAGACGGAGGCAAAAAGAAGAGACCGGCGGCAGAGTAGTGGAAGTGAGGTCGGTGGGTGGCCGTCTGCAGAAAAGAAAACAAATGTTTTGGTGTTTGTTATGTTTTGTTTTTTTTTTTTTTTTTTTTTTTTGTTAAACCTCTCCAAAGGTGATGTTTGGTGAATTTTGGAAGTCTGAGCCAATTGGTTATCTTTATTTTCAAGAAGTCTTGACTCTTTTTTTTTTTTTTTTTTTTTTTTTTTTTTTTTTTTTTTTTTTTTTTTGTGTTTTTTTTTTTTTTTTTTTTTTTTTTTTTTTTTTTTTTTTTTTTTTTTTTTTTTTTTTTTTTTTTTTTTTTTTTTTTTTTTGTGGTGGTGAAAATAAGAATAATAATAATAAATAAAATGAAGTGGTGGAAGCCCGTGGAATCAATGAAGGCTAGTATAATATATTGGAGTGGGGCAAAGAATGATGGGAATGTTGAGTATATAATAAAATAAAAATGGGTATTTGAAAGAGATTAAAAAAAGGGGTTTAGAGAAAATAAATAAAAATAATAGATTTAGAAATCAAACGGAAGAAAGAGAGTGGACAAGCCCACGTGGGTGGCTTTTTTTTTTAAAGATAAAATAAAATAATAAAATAAAGAAAGTGTCATAAAAGGGATCAAAGAGCACATGGGTTCTGAGGTTGTTCATAATAATAATAAGAATAAAAGGAATTAGTGGAGAGAGGGTAATTAGGATTATAACTTGCTTTTGCTAGTGGGAGGTCCCACCAACACTATGCACTTCAAAATTGTGGAATGGTGAGAACTCGAGAAAGCGGGGCTTCTTCGCTGGAATATTTCCGAGTTTTAGAAAGAAGTCGCCATGCTATCAATATCAACAACCTCAACAGCACAAATATTCAAATGCTTGGCCAGTGCAAGAGAGTTTTGTGATTCCAGATGAAGATAAGCCTCCTTCTATTGAAACCAGAAGCCATACTTCGTGGAGGTGTTGCCCAGTGGAGAGCTCTTGGTTCTGGACTCTGCTAACAGTAATCTCTACAAGATCTCTTCTCCTTTGTCTCAATATAGCCGACCGAGGCTGGTTGCTGAATCTGCTGAAGGATACTCTGGACATATAGATGGGGAAGCTAGGGAGGCAAGGATGAACCACCCAAAGGGACTCGCAGGAGAAAAAGTCCATCTTGACTCAGTGACAGACCTAGATGGGGTAGAGAGAGAGAAGTTTTGGTGGTAGCGTGAGTGCTCCTCAGCTCTGGCGATCACGACGACGGTGGTGGTGCCATCGCCGGCCACAATGTCTTGAGATTTGGAGAGTTCGACGAGCATGGAAAGTGGGTCAATTCATGATATTATACGGAAGACCAAGAAGCTCCAGACTAAGGAAATTATAAGGATTGCTGCGGATGTGGCAGAAGGGATGAAGTTCATGAACGACCATGGTGTTGCATACAAAGATCTGAACACACAGAGGATCTTGTTGGAAGATGCAGCGGAGTGAAGGCATGCGTAGAAATCTCCAGTGGGCAGCGAAGGCAAAGTTGTCAGCCGGGCTGCCCGCCGGTGAGAAAGAAATACAGGCCTAAATCTTATAGCTCTGATACCATGTAAGATAAATTGATAGAAAGAGAATAAATTATATGTATTATGATTGATATCTTTTAATGGTGTGTTGAGCTCTCTCCTTTATAGAGGAGAGGGAGAACAATTACAAACCGAAAGTAGAAGCACAAACCAAACAACATTATTAAAGGTACATTATTAAAGCATACTAATTATTATACTAACCTAATTATTAAAGCAACATTTTACATATTATATTCTAACACCTGTGACCTCTCCTTGTGGGAGAGTCATGGTAAGGAGACGTCATAGTGGCCAATAGGTTGGCCAACTTGGCTAGAGCCTGTTGGTTTCAAATTTATATTCTTAAATAAATTATATATTTACTGACTTGTGAAAGCTCGATCCAAGCCTATCCCATTGTGAATATGTTGTCATGTCATCCGTAAGGATAGGGATAAGTGAGCAACCCAAGCAGACTACTGGACATTCAAGATTGTTTTGGCTTTACAAATCATGTTTAAGTCTAGCATCAAGTCCCATTAGCACGTCTGAGCTTGTTGTATGAAGCATAGCATTGAGTTCCACTAGCTTGTCTGAGCTTGCTGTGTGAATGTTTGGTTTAGCTTGAGCTTATGAATAGGCTTTATTTGTAATGACACCTTACATATGTTATTACTTATCAACTGTTTAATATGTAAACTGTCTAATTAGTCAACTGTTTCCCTTAGTTTTTTTCTTTATATTTCTTATATAGTTGTCACAACAATCTTATAAAGTGCCATCAAATAATCCATGAGATAGGGCTGCTAAAAGCTTGCACATTAGGCAACCAAACTCCTCACATGAGCTTTTGATCTTCACCCATTTTATTTAGAGAAAAGCCCGAATTGGATTAGGCGATCTTGAAGCTTGTGGTGCGCGCAAGTTGCTTGGCTTGTTTTGCACCCATCATTGAAATAACTACCTTCATGTGCATGCAAACATGATTTATGCATGAATAGGTGTCTGATGTATTATCACTTTTGATGCATGTAGGAATGGGACACCTAGGCAACCTTTACTTGTACCTCTTGCTCGGGCACGCTTGCTATTTGATCCAGTTCGGGTTCCTCCAGCATCTCTTGAGGGTCTTGAAGAATATTCTCATTGTTGGATTATATATGTGTTTCATTTGAACACAAATCTTGAAAAACTGTGGAAGCATCCAGCAAAATCAAAGTTTAAGGCGAAGGTATGTGGTTCTACTTTTTATTTTTTTTATTTTTATTTTTATTTTTTATGTATACTTTAGCTATGTTACTTGGTTTTGAGTACAGGTGTTGGGTGTGTCAGTGTGTATGTGACTACTTGTCAAATTCATATAATTGCTGTCTAAGGACACAAGGACACCAACCTATTTATATTGCTTTATATTTTCTTTTATTATTTTCTATGGTAAAATGGTGTTTACAAGGTGACAAACATTTCGTGCATAATATGAGAATTTTATGCGCAGTTATATGGTGAACTTGAATAACTATACATGCTTGTGAGGTGAATGTCCAACTTTAAATGTTTTACACATTCCATATCATTATTCAAGTGCCTAACACAAGTATTTCACACATGTCCATGTAACATGAACTTTTGTTTTTATTGTGTTGTGTCTTGAATGTTCAAACTTCTAAGAAAGTTTGGTGGATGGATAGGTGAGAGTACCTAGATTGGAAGGAGGAAAGATGGGATTATTTGCTACAAGATCTCCACATCGGCCATGTCCCATTGGGCTTACAGTGGCAAAGGTAAATATGAACTGTTTTAAGTGCATACTTCAAATCTTTTTTTTTTCAAAGCATTTTTTAAATTTATTTTCTGTAGGATGATTTCCAGTGTATTATGAGATATGGAAGTATCTGATCAAAGTTTGGAAACTAGGAGACAAGGGGAATTTCTTAAAAATGCCCACCCCAGCTGCTCTTAGTGGAATACTTCAAAGAAATATATTCCTATGGAAATCCTATTAATAGGAGCATCTTTTCTTTAATTTTACCTCTTAAGGAACTTACTTCTATATCATGGCATGAATTTAGAAAGCTTTTGTTTAACAAATGATAGATTACATCCCACTTATGAAGGTAGTGTAGGTTCTTGCCCTAGTGGTACATTCTAGCTTCAAGTCAGCCTTAATTTACTACTGGGGAATGACATGGTACTCCATTTCTGTAATACAGGAGTTCGAGGGTCATTGTCAGCATAAATGGCACGTTACAAAATTCATTTCTGAACCACATTGATGTGTAATGGGAAGTTTAATGTACTTGATACTGGTACTCTCACCCCAACCATTCTTTTTCCTGTGTTTAGTACTAGGATGAATCCTTTACATAATACCTAGTCTCGTTCTGACAGATTTTGTTTTCAATATTCTACATTTATGATTTTGAGTGAAAAGTGTATGCCTGAGCTAGATATGCCCTCGGAGGAGTACATTATATTAATGCAGATATACTTTTTTTCCCCCCTAATTAGGTGGAGGCTGTTCATGAACATATGGTTCTACTTTCTGGTGTGGATCTAGTTGATGGAACAGTAAGTTTTTAATTGCTCCATTAATAGCCAGACTAAATAAACAACTATATTATTTCTTTTTAGACACTGTTTAAATAAAAAAAAAAGTTTATCCTCATGGTTTGAATTTATCACCAGCCTGTCTTGGATATCAAACCTTATCTTCCATACTGTGACGGCATCCAAGGTGCAACAGTGCCCACGTGGGTAAAGGTACTATCTCCATAATTTATTAACTACTTGTAATTTCACATATCTTCTATATTGGAAGTATTTGTGAATATTATATTATATCTTGTAATTTTCCTCTTTGAATGAGGAAAATAACTTCAATTGTGATTTTTATGAGGTTGAGTTTTAATATATAACTAGAAGGCCATTACCTAGTGTTGGTCTGCTGATGCTAGGTGCTCAAGCTGTAGGCTGGGTACAGCCTTAGTTATTTGCAGGGCTGTTCACAGGCCGGTTTTAGCCGGGGCAGGTCGTTTCTGACCCGAGTCGCAGAGCTGTGGATTGAAGAAAATGGACCTGCATCTGCCCTAATTGCAGGTTGCGGTTCATGCGGGTGGGTGCGGATCAGTTGGGCGGGTTGGGCTTTTGTTTTTTTCATGTGATTTTCTTGTTGGGCTTATGTTTTTGGGCTCTTTTTTTTAAAACTTATTTACTACAATTTAATTAATTTTAATAGGCCAAAATATGTAAAATTAATAGTGATAATATTTTAAACCCTTACATATGTAAAATTAATAACTCAAAATATCAAAATATAATTAACAGATTAAAACTTGTAAAATTAAAAACACTCCAACAATGCTTCAAAACATTAACAATTAACGGCTTCAACTAAAGCATTAAAAACCTATTCTTCAAAAGTCATAAAATCCTTAATATGTCAATCCAACACAGTTAAAAGCCATCCAAAATGCTAAACACACTATAAACTAGTTCTCCATTAATTTTACATTCATCCAAAATGTGATAATAATAATAATTAGAACTAAAATAACTTGTTTATAAACTTCAACCAAAACCCGAAAGAAATAAAATAAAACAAAAAAAGAAATGCTTGCAAAGCTCCACCACCACATCCAACTTCCAAAAGTTTCATGCATAGCAAAAACCTCCAATTATCTGCAATATGAAGGAAAATTAGGAGATCATTAGCAATGGAGAAACTATAAAAAATAAAGTGCAATGAACACTACAAAGTCTCAAGCATAATGTGATAGATAATAGATATAGTGTGAAGCAAAATAAATGTAAATGAAAAACTTACCAATGAGCCAGTAGACACTAAATTTCAATTGTATTTGTAGCATCAACATTAGAACTTGGGCTTGAAGATGAGCTTGACTTCAAAGTACCTAACCATGAGCAACAAGAGAAGATCAATAAAAATTGTATAGTAAATATAGCAATAGAATTAAAAATCATATTGCTCAAATTCCTCCACCTCATCCATTGCCTTTCGATGAGAAGTCGGAAGGTTGCTTCTAAGCCAATTTTGAGTACATACAAGAGTTTCAACCACGGAAGGGGCGAGTTAACTACATAACGGATCAAGAATACGCCCTCCGGTACTAAAAGCCGACTCCAGCGCAACGGTAGAAATAGGCATGGCTAACCCATCCTTTGCTATTTGCAATAGCACTCTATATTTTGTCGCATCAACCTTCCAACCAAGTATTTTTCCAATTCCGACTTACTTTCACTAGTGAATCGATCCTCCAAATAGGAACTAAATTAAGACTCAATGAGAGAATGTGGATCATCATCTATCACCATTTCCGATACTTTACTCACACTTGGGACTTTCTCATTTGATGAATAAGGTGTGGCATAATGGTTGTATAAATGAGTCAAACAAGGATTAACCTTGTGCACCATGTCATCCACCTTATTCTTATCTCCAAGAAACAAATTTGAGAAACAAAACTCCAAGAATGCCATCTTTTTTGTAAGATCAAGAACAATGGTAACATACAATAAGATATTGATCTTATTCCCATCCCCCTCCAATACTTGTTAAACTTTTGTTTCATACTCTTTGCGATTGTGTACAAAACATCATCATCCTCCAAAATTAATTGATTGAGCTTTCAATAACAAATATTTCTCTATAAAAAGCATTAGATGTAACAAAAAGGGACCCTACGATAAAATAGTTTTAAAAATCTCACAAACAACCTATATTTCTTCCAGTCGTCCTCATTCATAATCCTCTTATCCCACCATCAACATCCTTTAAGTAAGTTTTAAAATTAGAAGTCTCATACTTCAGTTTAGAAAAAACCTTCTTAAATTTTTTGGCGGTCTCTAACATTAAATATGTCGAATTCCATCTTGCGGGCACATCTAAGCATACAAGAGACTTTGTTTCAATTTTTAGTGTGGCTGCACACCTCCTAAACAATCATGTCGGTTAGGAGAAGACTTCACATATCTCACTGCAAGCCTAATATTTGCAATAGAATAATCTATTTCCTTCAACCCATCGCTTACAACAAGATTTAGAATATGTGCACAACAACGCATATGGAAAACTTATATGATTCAAGATGGTCTCCTTCCACTTTTTGGTATTTCTTTTTAAGAATTGAATGGTAAGATTATTGGAACTAGCATTATCAACTGTTAAGGTGAAGATGTTATCGCTGTACCACTTAAACAAACATGTCATAATTTTTTTTTACCCAAAGTTTCCCCCTTGTGATCTTCAACTTGTTGGAAATGAATGATTCTTTTTTGTAGTTTTCAATTATCATCAATAAAGTGAGCCGTTAGACATATGTAACACAAATTTTGAATAGAAGTCCATGTGTCTATAGTGAAACAAATTCGGCGACCCTTCATGGCCTTTTTCAACCTATCCCTTTCAATTTTGAATAGGTTAACCACATCTCAAGCTATGGTATGATGAGATGGGATTAGTGTGAATTGGGTTGCATAATATTACTAAATCTTCTAAGGAACGAAACAAAGTGTGTGAATTTGTGAATTTGAGTAACAAAACTGAGCAGCCTCACACGCACTCGTCCTCTCACTGTCTCATCTCTCTCTCTCTCTCTCTGTGCGGTGACCGGCGATCGGCAATGCACGGCAACTGGCGGCAACACCTTTGGCGTGCTTTTGGCTACACCTTGGGAGCTTTCTCTCTCTATTTCACATCTTCAAGTAAATTCCTACGACCAATACACCCTTTGTTTGGTTCCTTAAAAAGATTTTGTGATGTTTTGCAAACCAAATTCACACCAATCCCATCTCGTTATACCATAGCTCGAGATGTGGTTAACATATTCAAAATTGAAAGGAATAGGTTGAAAAAGGCCATGAAGGGTTGCTGAATTTGTTTCACTATAGACACATGGACTTCTATTCAAAATTTGTGTTATATGTGTCTAACAGCTCACGTTATTATTGATAATTGGAAACTACAAAAAATATACATCAATTTCCAACAAGTTGAAGATCACAAGGGGGAAACTTTGGGTAAAAAAATTATGACATATTTGCTTGAGTGGAACATCGATAGCATCTTCACCTTAACAGTTGATGACGCTAGTTTCAATAATCTTACTATTCAATTCTTAAAAAGATACCAAAGAGTGGAAGGGGATCATCTTGAATCATATGAGTTTTTACATATGCGTTGTTGTACACATATTCTAAATCTTGTTGTGAGCGATGGGTTGAAGGAAATGGATGATTTTATTGCAAATATTAGACTTGCGGTGTGGTATGTGAAATGATGGTTTTAAGAGGTGGGCGTCCACACTAAAAATTGAAACAAAGTATTTTGTATGCTTAGATGTACCCACAACATGGAATTCAACATATTTAATGTTAGAGACTGCCGAAAAGTTTGAGAAGGTTTTTTCCAAACTGAAGTATGAGAATTCCATTTTTGAAACTTACTTCAAGGATGTTGATGGTGTGATAAGGAGGATTTTGAATGAGGAGGATGAAAAGAATGTAGGTTGTTTGTGAGATTTTTGAAACTATTTTATTTTGCAACAAAGAAATTTCCGGGGTCCCGTTTTGTTACATCTAATGCTTTTTATAGAGAAATGTTTGTTATTGAAAGCTCAATCAATTAATTTTGGAGGATGATGATGTTTTGTACACAATCGTAAAGAGTATGAAACAAAAGTTTAACAAGTATTGGAGGGGGATGGGAATAAGATCAATATCTTATTGTATACCATTGTTCTTGATCTTACAAAAAAGATGGCATACTTGGAGTTTTATTTCTTGGAGATAAGAATAAGGTGGATAACAAGATGGACAAGGTTAATACTTGTTTGACTCATTTATACAACCATTATGCCACACTTTATTCATCAAATGAGAAAGTGCCAAGTGTGAGTGAAGTATCAGAAATGGTGATAGATGATGATGATCCACATTCTCTTATTGAGTCTCAATTTAGTTCCTATTTGGAGGATCGATTCACCAGTGGAAGAAAGTCGGAATTGGAAAAATACTTGGCCGAGGTTAAACATTTTTCAAAGAATAAAAAATTTGAGGTATTGGATTATTGGAAGGTTAATGCCACAAAATATAGAGTGCTATTGCAAATAGCAAAGGATGGGTTAGCCATGCCTATTTCTACCGTTGCATCGGAGTAGGCTTTTAGTACCGGGGCGTATTCTTGATCTGTTCTGTAGTTAACTCCCCCCTTCTGTGGTTGAAACTCTTGTATGTACTCAAAATTGGCTTAGAAGTAACCTTCCGATTTCTCTTCGAAAGGCAACAGATGAGGTGGAGGAATTTGAACAATATGATTTTTAATTCCATTGTTATTTTTACTATGCAATTTTTATTGATCTTCTCTTATTGCTCATGGTTAGATACTTTGAAGCCAAGCTCATCTTCAAGCCCAAGTTTTGATGCTACAAATACAATTGAAATTTAGTGTCTATTGGCTCATTGGTAAGTTTTACATTTATTTTGCCTCACACTATATCTATTATCTATCACATTATGCTTGAGACTTTATAGTGTTCATTGCACTTTATTTTTTATAGTTTCTCCATGGCTAATGATCTCCTAATTTTCCTTCATATTGCAAATAATTGGAGGTTTTTGCTATGCATGAAACTTTTGGAAGTTGGATGTGGTGGTGGAGCTTTGCAAACACTTCTTTTTTTGTTTTATTTTATTTCTTTCGGGTTTTGGATGAAGTTTATAAACAAGTTAATTTAGTTCTAATTATTGTTATTATCACATTTTGGGTGAATGTAAAATTAATGGAGAACTAGTTTCTGGTAAGTTTAGCATTTTAGATGGCTTTTAACTGTGTTGGGTTGACATATTAAGGATTTTATGACTTTTGAAGAATAGGTTTTTAATGCTATAGTTGAAGCTGTTAATTATTAATGTTTTGAAGCAATTTTGGAGTGTTTTTGAATTTTCCAAGTTTTAATCTGTTAATTATATATTGATGTTTTGAATTATTAATTTTACATATTTAAAGCTTTGAAATATTATAGCTATTAATTTTACATATTTTGGCCTATTAAAATTAATTAAATAGTAGTAAATAATAAGTTAAAAAAAAGGGCCCAAAAACATAAGCCCAACTAGAAAATCACATAAAAAAACAAAAGCCCAACCTGCCCAAGTGATCTACATCCACTTGCAAACCCGATTAACCCACCCGCGTAACCCACAGCTCGGGGCAGAACCGACCCGCACCCGTCCAGAACCGACGTCCCACGAGCAGCCCTGCATGTAAATATGGGTGTGTTTTGGGTGGGGGTGTGGTGTTCAACCTTGTGCAATCTTCCGTTGCCAAATAATTCTGCAACCCTGTGCAATAATGCCAAATGCTATGTCTGTACCCAATCTTCCCTTCCCAGTATACTTTTTAGTTGCTATACTTGGTTTTTATACATTCGTTCTTGTTTTTTGGTTAAATTAATATCAAAATTGTTCCAAAACTGTGTATACCTTGAATTTGCAAATATTGCCATCATCACATTTATTTTCAAACAGAATTTCAAAATGGTGTTGTATTATGTAATTTGACAGGAAGTTCTCACCATGCTTTGGGCAAGCATCACTCCCCTTGTGAACTGAATATTCATAAATATATATATGTTTTTTGTTCCTTTTGGTTTTGTGGAAGTTAATATAATATGTAATGTACATTATAATTTATTGCTTCCTCAAAATTTAATATAAGACCTGATATTTGGACAGGCGGACAATGTATTAGCTGTAGCTTCTGTGAGCTTCTCCGACAGCTTCAACGCCACTCTAGCTGATTGTTGGACAAAACTGGTGAGATATAATTCCATCTAATGGAACTAATCATAGGTGTTTTATCATATTTGTGATTGATTTCTAGAGTACTTGTTTCCTCCTGCTTCCTTTTTATTTATTTATTTGCTGATATTATCCATGTTATTATTCGCAAGATGCTAAATTATCTCTATTGTTTCCATTGTTATTTCTTGGTAGAGCCGTAGAGGGCGTGCTCCTATCAATCTCTAATGTTGTGTTTGGAATTTGGATTTTTGAAACAAAGGGAAGGGATTTGTGAAATAAATTTAGGTTCTATTTCATTCACTCTTCCGGTTTTCCCTCCCATATTCTTTTCCCTCTATAAATTTCTTGCTTCATCCAAGATCCAAACACAATCTAAAAGAGAGAAAAAAAAAAAAAAAAAAAAAAGGGAAGGAAAGATGGTCAGAAAGAAGTTCACCATCAAACCCCAATCCTATATTGAGAACCGGCTTATTTTCAAAAAACCGGTTAGAACCACTATTGAACCAGTAGCCGGTTCAAGCAACCGGCCAGAAGTCCCAATGCGTACGCATGCAACACTGCCAAGGCATTCCAACGTGTACATGCAGCAGTCCCAAGCTTAACTTTGTAAAAATCTTTACGTGGCAAGGCTTGAACACGAGACCATATAGATAATAGTCTCACATCTTAAGAAAAAAACTAATTGGCTGATTGATCTTGTTGAAAAGCTTCTTACTTTATCACTCTCTGACTCCTTGAAAATGTTCGTAATAATGCAGAAGATGGTTAGATGCAATTCTTTGATCGAAGAAAATTTGTTATTATGGTTGTGATAGTTTGATAGATAAGTCGTTGTGATTACATGATCCAGAATACATCTAGCATTGAACTCAATCTCCCAAATACCAACTTCATTGCATGCAGAGCATGGATGTTATAATTTAATCACGAGATGACCTATAATTGTCAGAATAAGATCGTGTGTAGTCGCAATATTTTCGGAGTCCACAGCTTGTTTAACCTGTTGCAAATATTGCATGTGCTTTTTCAGTTCTGGAAGTCACAAGTGAATACTTATCTAACAACTGTTGGTGGTTTTTCAGCTTCTCTGACCTAAATCTTTTAAGTGGGATCTTTTCAATGGACCTATAGATAAATCTTTTCTAACATAATCTAAAATAATATGCATTTTGTAATTACTCAATATGGTACCAAAGCTGTTCTCCACTCAACCTGTTTTCCCTAATTTCTTGTCATCTATGCTATATGGACTCAAGTACGGGTGTTGGGTAAGTATTAAATTCGTCTATTTCTTGTATGCTAGTACACGGGGGACATGACAAACTATTCAGGTTTCTTAATTTACTACTTTTATTTTTTACGGTAAAATGGTCTTTACAAGATGCCATGTAGCATTTCATGCGTACTATAGAGTTGTGTTAAACTTGAATGCTTGCTAGGTGAATGTGAAACTGCACATGCTGGACGCATCTCCCATTGCCATACCATCACCCCAGTGTCCGAGTGCTTGACATTAAACACATTTAGAAGAGTCCATAACATAACTTTCAATCAAGAAACATTACTTGCATGTCTCGTCAAAGCAATGATGTGTTGAGTATTAGTTCAGTCAATTGGGACATATTTTAATGACATTGCCAAAGCAATAACTCGACTCCGACATATTAAAGACAAATCGTCTGCTTTGTCTAATTCTTGGGTGACCTTCCATATTGCCATGTTTCAGGAAAAGAAGTCAATCTATGCATCCCCTGATGAATTTCAAAGCTTGATCAAGCAGGTGCTTTCCTGGGATATACGATCATTATCGCAACGGAGTCGACCTCATAATTCCATAGTAAACACAGAAAACGACATAAGAGGTAACAGTAATACTGTGGATCTTGACGATGACCAAGATGATGCAGCTACCAATACTGGAGGTGAGGGGGTTTCTCTTCTTTCCAGTGACATTATTTATCATCTGACTTTGGAAGGCTTAGATGTGTCATACAGAATGGTTTCTGATGGCAATGTTATTGTTGAGAAAGTCACACTTCCATCTCGTATCACAAAACAGTTATAAACAGACTACAAGTTCATGACAGGAGAGCTAAACGTGTATATTACTTTGTTTAATGCACTCATCTTCTTGCTGTAATGCTTGGAACCCTTTACATTTGGCATAAGGTTGTTTTCAGATTAATTTCTTGGATTGTGTTTGTGTGGAATGATACCTCTTGGTATGACTTTGAAAATGACTGTATTTTCAGATGGTCTCATTAGCAGTACAGTATTTTGTGTAATGAGTACGTCATTTGGCCGAGCTGATTTAGTGTACCTTCTAACTCATTATTTGTTATAAGGTAAAATGTAGGACATGAGAAATCACTTTGTGATAAACCGAAGTGCCGAGTGCTTTGGCCATTTCAAACTTCGGTGCCATTTCTTACCACATGACAAGCAATGAGCGGAAGAAAACACTATTGGTCACGTACTATTTACATAAAATATTTTTTCCTATTAGGACAATAATCTCTTACAATGAGAATAGTCATCAGAATCTGAATCTAGCCAACAGTTGCAAGTGGAATAAGCAAAATATGGGGTGAATTACACCCGACTGTCCTTATGCTTTAAGATTCGTCACTTTGATTCTTTACTTTTCAATTGTGATATATTTGATCTTAAATTTTGAATCTTGTTTCAAATAAAGACAATTGAAGACATTGTTATTCTATTTGAATGGCAAAATCGTTATACAATTTATTTTGTGTTGGTTATAATGGTTTTTTTTTTTTTTATGAATAATGTTAGATCTTTTTTAGTTATAAAATTTTATTTGGTTTGGTTTTCATAATGTAATTTAGAAAAAATTTCTAAGAAACTAAAAATTAAATTGGTGAAAAAAATTTAAAAACATTATTTTTACATAATTTTATCTTTTAGGAGGGAAGAAATACTTTTTAAAAAAGGACTTATTGATAAATTTCATTTAGAAGTGTTTTAATTCAAGAAGTTCATGAAAGAATTTTTTAACCCGTTTAGTCCCATGTATGTATAGTTTTATTCCATAAAGTCTTTTTTCTTGATTTACACTATTTTCTTGGATATTTATGTCCCTATATTTAATTTTGATACCCTTATGAAATTTTTCGAACGGTTAGCAATTTTATGATGTGAATATTCATATTTTAAAATTCACATTGGTAGGAATGTAAAATTGGTCCGTGGGCGGCCCGAAACTCACCCACGAGCCGGGGCGGGCCCGGTCCGTTAACAATGTGAATATTCACATTGACATGTTAACATTCACATTAATAGGAGTGTAAAATTGGCCCGCATCCCGTGACAGCACGAAACCCGCCCGTGGCCCAGGGCGGGCCTAGTCCGGCCCGTTGACAATGTGAATATTCACATTGACATGTTAACATTCATATTGATAAGTGTATAAAATTGGCCCGAGGCCCATGGGCTGCCAAAAGCTCGTCCGCCGCCCGGGACGGGCCCGCCCCGAGCCGTTGACAATGTGAATATTCACATTAATATGTTAATATTCACATTGATAGGAGTATAAAATTAGCCCGCGCCTCGTGGTTGCCCGAAACCCACCCACGACCCATAGGCGGCCCGGGGTGGGCCGGCCCGGCCTGTTGACAATGTGAATATTCACATTGACATGTTAACATTCACATTGGTAAGAGTATAAAATTGGCCAACGGGCCTGACCCGGCCCGTTGACAATGTGAATTTTCACATTGACATGTTAACATTTACATTGATAAGAGTGTAAAATTGGCTCGCAGCCCGTGGGCGGCCCGAAGCCCGACCGCAGCCCGAGGTGGGCTTGGCCCGACCCGTGACAATGTGAATATTCACATTGACATGTTAACATTAACATTGATAGGAGTGTAAAATTTGTTCGCTGTCCGAAGCTTGCCCGCGGCCCGGGGTAGGCCCGGCCCAGCCCGTTGATAATGTGAATATTCACATTGACATGTTAAAATGCACATTGATAGGAATGTAGAATTGGCCCGCGGCCCATGGGCTGCCCAAGCCCGTCCACGGCTCGGGACAGGCTCGTTTCGGTTCGGGCCCGAGCATGTCCGAGACCTTAGGTTAGGGCCTAGGTCATCACTTTGAAGCCCGGCCCGGCCCATCAGCTCGCTTAAGGCCCATTCAAGGCTCGGTCCAAGGCCCAGCTCGCCCGAGGCGCAATGTATTTTTTTGTGAAAAATAATAAAATTTTGGTAGAAAAAATTAAAAAGAATTAAAAAAAAAATAGCTAGGCCCGCCCAAGCCCGACCTAAGCTCGAGGCTAGGCCCAAGTCCACCAGCCCGACCCGAGGCTCGATCCATCGGTCCGTCCAAAGCCTGAACACCCTTGTGCCAGGGCTAGGGCTTGGCCCTAATTTTTTGGCCCATGGGCCGGCTCGACCCGGCCCGGGAAAAGCTCGTTTGGGCCCAGGCTCGAGCCTAGTCCGAGACCCTAGGCTAGGGCCTGGGCCATCACTTTGAAGCCCGGCCCGGCCTATCGACCCGGTTAAGGCCCATTCAAGGCTCGGTCTGAGGCCCGGCCCGCGCCGAGGCCTAATGTCTTTTTTTGTGAAAAATAATAAAATTTTGGTAGAAAAAAATTAAAAAGAATTAAAAAAAATGGCCAGGCCCCCCTCGGGCCGCCCACGGGCCGTGGGCGTGTTTTGGGCAGCCACGAGGCACGGGCTAATTTTACACTCCTATCAATGTGAATGCTAACATGTCAATGTGAATATTCACATTATCAACGGGCTGGGCCGGGCCTACCCCGGGCCGCGGGCAAGCTTCGGACAGCGAACAAATTTTACACTCCTATCAATGTTAATGTTAACATGTCAATGTGAATATTCATATTGTCAACGGCTCGGGCCGGGCCCGCCCCGGGCCATGAGCGGGCTTTTGGCCACCCATGGGCCGCGAGCCAATTTTATACTCTTATCAATGTGAATGTTAACATGTCAATGTGAATATTCACATTGTCAACAGGCCGAACCGGGCCCGCCTCGGGCCGTCCATGGGCCGCCGGCGAGTTTTGCGCCGCCACGGGACGCGGGCCAATTTTACACTCCTATTAATGTGAATGTTAACATGTCAATGTGAATATTCACGTTGTCAATGGGCCGGGCCCGCCCCCGCCCGACTCGAATTTTTCCAGGCACCCACGAGGATCGACATGGGCCGAGCCCCTACACATTGACGGTGTGAACATTCACATTAGGGGTATTTTGGTAATTATGTCATCCATAGGACTTATTGAAACATAAGAAAATAATGTGAACTAAATGGAATATAAGTAGATGAAAGGGTATTTTGGTCTTCTTATCTCAAATAGGACCTAATGGAATAATCAAAAAAAATATGGGTTGGATGGAATAAAGCTCTTAGAAAGTGAATTTATCAAAAAAGCTCCCTTTTAAAAATAATTTTTTTTGATATATATTTTTGTCATGTTAGTTTTTATTTTCTCAAAAGTCAAATATGTCAACAATTTTGATGTTATTATTATACCAATCTATTAAATCAAAAAATTTAAAATTCAAAATTCAAAACATTTTATATATTAAACATATCGATTATATATTAAAAACCTAATAATCATTAATTACATGATAACCATTCAAAAATATTTGTTAACAATAAATGTAACCATCTATTAGGGGTGTTCAGCGAATATTTTGATCCACGCAAACCGACCGAATCAAACTGATCTGTCGCATTTTAGATGGATGCGTGATAACGGGCGGACGGTTGCAGATTGATTTTTTTCAATCTGCCTAGTTTTGGACATATGACGAATTTGAAGTTCCTTTGACCGTAATCGAACTGCTAAACCATAAGCACCCCTAGTAATTTGTAAGACATTGTGTTTTCAATTTGTTTCAATTTGGAAATCCTTTTATCAAATGGCAAGTGTTGATATTTGATATTTTTGTGTGAAAAATATAATACTTACTTGTCATTTTTTAAAAAAAATCAAATAGTTTTTGAATAAAAAAACAGTAGGGGTACTTACGTGTAGGTCCTAATAAGTGGACTTATTGTCTAATAGGTCCTATGGAAAAATTTTGTCATAAAAAATGTCACTAATTATAAGTTTTAGCTACAATTTATAAAAATCATGACAAAAAAAAAAAAAAAAATACTAATTGTCAATTTTTAGTGATGTACATAAAAAATTGTCACAAAAAAATTATTTTTAGCTACAATTTTATCAAGACTTATTTTTAATAGGACTTGATGGAAATTAAGTCCAACTATTAGGACCTATTAGTAGTTTACCCAAAACGAGTAATGAAACAGTTTTGATAATACATGGTTTTCTTATATGTATTTATTATTGATATTTGACAATTTGTTTGATAATCTTTTAATTATGTTGAGTTGAATTGTTATCCCCAAAAAAATGTTGACAAGTTGTTGTATTATGTTCAAAATTTGTAAAAGTTTAAACCGCCAAACAGATTCACATCTGTCCGATAATCCGCTCAATCCATATCCGTCAATCCGGCTGATGGATGCAGATTGGAGGTTCCCCGGTCACAACCAAATCGTGAACACCCCTACCATTTATTATATGATAACCATCCAAAAATATCAATAAAAATAACCATTCATTACATAATCATCATCCAAACACATACTAAAAATTAATTTAATAAAAATAAAAATGGAAAAGATTTATCATTTTTATATAATTTTATCTTTGGGTGAGTAGAAATAATTTTTTGAAATTTAAAAATAATTTTTTGAGATTTATTTTTGTCAAACTAATTTATATTTTTATCAAATTGACCCTTGAATGGAGCGACAATATCTACAATTATCCTTATTTGAAATGTGATTCAAAATTCATGGTCAAATGTATCACAATTGAAAGATCATGGACCAAAGTGACACATGTTTCCAACTACAAGGGCCGTTAGTGTAATTCGCCTGCAAAATATATATAGAAAAATACTAGAGACCTCAAGAATTTTATTAAATTTTTTACTAAAACTTACATGAGTGTAGATCCTATACTTAGGCCTCGTTTGGCAACCAAACTTTTTAGTCAAAAAGTCAAAAAATTACTAAATTAGTCAAAAAGCCAACAACTCATACCAAAAAGTCAAAGATTCTCTTTTCTCTCTACTTTTTGCACATTTTTTCGTAAAAAGTCAAAAAGTCATC